GTTTTGTCTATTTCTTCTGTTGCCCTTGCTTTCTGGCGCTTTTCCGATCTAAGATATTTGTACCTCCATTTATGCAGAGCAAGGGCGTTCTGATTCAATGAAAAGGGCTTCCGAAATGGCAGTCTACTTTGGAGCCTTCTCGGCATCTGAACTCGGAATGCCTGAGGGAATTCTGCAATCCCAGTGAGCCATCCCAAAGCCGCTTGGACTCTGCCACGGAGAAACTCATCTACGAGGTACAGAAGAAGCCCGCGAACCCAAGGACCTCCAACGGACTTGTAAGGGCTGAATTTGACCTCGACATATTTCGGCGGGTGTTCTACAAAAAGGGTGCAAAGCTTGATGGAGGGTTGCTCCTTTGCGATGAATCCGACTTCCAACGTTTAAAGCTGCCAGCTGGCTGGCCTGAACGCGAAAGCAAGCTTGGAGGGAGTGTGGCCATCCAGTTTCCATTGCGTGTGAAAGGCGTCCTTCGCCGTCAGAAGTCGTGGAGGGTGTTTGTTGGTGGATCTTTCAAGAATACCTGCATGTTTTCTTTGTTGTCCAGGGGGTGAGCACTCGTTAAAAATGGAAAACTGTAAAGCCGTCGTCCGCGTCACATTGGCGTCAAATGTGCTTAAGCTAACGCTTAGTAATTTTATGCTAAGGAAAGTGCATCATGAAAAATAGTTGTTATGTAAGTCGTATATCGAAGCCCTTCAACTTTACATTCCAGAGCACGTCGTCCCGATACCTGTGAGCGAGGTACTTGAAATGAGGTTGCGGTCGCTCTGCACATCAACCGAGAGAAAGTTTAATGGCGCGTTCACACTGGAAGCGGATCCGCGTTCGCGAAGCGGATCCGCGCGTCCTCGACCGCAAAGCGGCTAAGATCGAGCGGTTGGAGCGCGTTTTTGCCAACCGCTTCGGGACCGATTTCTTCTAGGGAGCCTTCATGTGCGCTTTGCTAGGCTGATGCCATCCTTTGTAATACCACTCGCCGACAAACCAGCAGCCATTTTGTTCCTCGGCGATAATCTGTGGGGCTTATAACCCTCCCGGAAACAAGCACCTTATCTCAGAAGTTCGGAGCAGCGTTGTGGAACCCACGGAGGGAGGATTAGCATTTTCCCCTTGGATGGGACTACCGATGGACACAAAGGCCACTTTCCGGCGCACGGGGAAACAATGAGAGGAACAAAATGGCGGTGAACGAGGGTGTGGGAAAGGGAAACAGGCAGTTGGCATCACCCTATGCGAAGCGCACATGAAGGCACCCTAATTTCTCCCAACCGCTTTCACGAACAGCAAAGCGGCAACCAATCACAACGCGGGGCTAACGTGACGTCAGTGACTTTCGAAACAAGATGGCACCTGTCGCAGATGAGTTGTCCAGGGCGCTCTAGTCCTAGCGCTGTGGTCTTAGCTTTCGACAAATCAACGGAGAAACTTTATGTTCACGTCCGTCAGTTAAATCCGCCACGATAAGAATTGACTCGTAATTTTAACGGGCTTCGCACCGGTGATTTGGTTCGGGTAAGAGTTTTTTTATTATTCCCCGTGCCACAGCCCAAGCTCGATGCCTTGTTAACCTCTGCCTGTAGAACGTCGGAACCCGCCCCTAATCGACCGAAATGTCAGCTTTTCTACCCACTAGGATAGTCGCGTTAACTATTAAAAGCCTTCGATACCGTGCATGACCACCACGAAGGCCGATAGAGACGTCGTAAGCTTGATTGCGTAGCCAACGCACTACCGAGGAGGGGGCAGGGTACCTGCGCTAGCTCGACCTGTAACGTTCACTACTAATAAAATAAAGGGAACCTACTCAAGGAATAAAGTTTACGTACCAGACAATGCAGAGGTAATCCATACGGCGTTTATTTGAGCTTAAAGGGATACTTTAACGAAATTTGAAATACTCCCGTCGTGTTCAAAAATAGGTTGAATATGATCCACAATATCCGTAAATGACAATCGCACGTTTGTATTTTGAGCCTGGTGGCTGTATTTTTCGCTATAAACGGCCCACTCTAGCAAGCGCTCGGAGAAGGCCCAGCGGAGACCACGTGACATCCAACGCAATCGTGTCGTAGGTCGTCTCAAGACGAGCAAAGCTACGGTGAGGCTGACGTCGAGAGGATGGCCTAGTCGTTCCAGCCACCGAAGCGGCTGCTTTTGTACGAATTTTGAGTGACGGGTTAATCTTCCGTAATCTGGTAGGGGGACAATAGCGACTTCTGCGACGCAGAAAAGGCATTCTCGGGAACAGGGGAGCTTCTCCTGCCCCTCTTCTCTCGTCGTGGCCGGAGACGAGACAACCTCCGTCACTAGCTGTCAAGGTTCCTAGACGGGCATTACAAGCGAGGCGTTAGCGACATCCACCAGGTGCTCTTTGCTGATGGTTTAATTCGTTTTAAAATGCCTTTTCGTGACTTTTTTAACAGGATATTAGTATGTTCGATGTGATGCTGCTTTTTTGCAGACATATAGACCAAAAAATGAGCGCCCAAATTTCGTTGTAGTATCCCTTTAATGTCAAACAAACAGTAGATTCGATCGACGTTCGAGGGACGAGAGGAGAGTCCTCCACCAATGAAGCCACGACCGGCTGGCACCGAACACATTCCCGCGCACCACGGTCCGCCCCACGACTCACAAGTTCACAACTTCGAAAATGATAAGAGCGAACAACGAGGGGGGAAAACTGGCCCTCTATCCCGAAAACAAGGTCAGCTATTCATGCAGGAAGGGTCCAGAAAAGGTCAGGAGCATCCTGTTCTGAGTCAGCAAAGCGCGCCTAGCTGGGCTTTGCTTGTGGGCGAGGTCGAGGGAATCACAGGCGAGTTTGGCGGGTCCATGCTTCTTTTTTCGCTGCCTGAACTCGTGATGCGTGGGAACATCCCGGAGAAAAATATTCCGGGTGCCAAAATAGCAAAAGTTTGGCTTTGGATCTTGAATTAAAGTGGATTTTGGATTGTAAAACAGGGTTGCCAAACGCAAGTCTTAAAAAATCACGCGTGATCGCCGAGAAACCGCCAACCGCCTCTCGGTGTGTCTGAACGGGGTCGCTCACGAACCGCGTTCGCGACCGCTTCGCGAACGCGGATCCGCTTCGAGTGTGAACGCGCCATAAGAGAGAAAATGGCGAGACAAGCCTAGTTTTCTCTTAAGGGAACGCACCTTGACAATTGACGTCGACGCAAAGGCGTCTTTTCTAACCGGTGACGGCAGCAATGCTCAATGAGACTGCGCCTCTTTAGAAGCGTTGGTTTCTGTTCTCCAGAGAAAGATAAATAATAAAAAAAACGACAGAAAAAAATGAGCTGGGCGTAACTGTTTCTCAGCTGAACAGCAAAATAAATGTCTTAAAAAGAAAAAAAAAAGCTAACCTAAAAAAAAAAAAACACACACACACACACGAAACTTTAATTTTGTTAACTGGTCTCGGCAACCATAACATAGGAAAAAAAGGTCGGAGAAGGTAGTAGAAAGACAGATCAGCGCAAGCTTAGGGCTGTTGCCAGCAGTGTCGCAGGCTCTATAGGGAGCTCTCGTGCAGTTTTGGTCTTAACTTGCAAGAAATCTTTGTGCAAGACTTGAAAGGTCTGTTACACAAAATTTGTTACGACTGTGAAGATTCGCGTGTCCATTCACGCGTGAAAGCCCCGTTTCATGGTATGGGCATCACTTCATACTCCGAGCTTAGCCAAAGTGACAAACAAATTGTGAGCTCGGTTGCCTGCCTTCTTGATGATCATGCGTGCAGTGACACGTTTTGGCAAGAGCTTTCGCGAACTGTAAAAGGCCTGCCGGCTCTGAGTTTAATTAACAGTTTCCAGTCCACCATCGATCGGAGACTTGAAATAACAAGAACGCCCGGAAAAGCTCATATGGCACAAATCTCATTTCTAGACGAGGTGGAGTATGCGATCAAGACAATGGCGACGAAAAAAAAAATACTTTGCGCAAGCTCAGTCATAGCCTCCTCTATACTCCGTATAGAGGTGGCTATGGCTCAGTGCTCAACCTCTGATAATCAAACTTGAAGTGGACGGATGTAGAGTGAGCCGGAAGACATCATGGACAACTCTGTCGTTTGTAGTGATTGAACCTAACAAACGCTTACAGTCGCACAGACTGCACCGTCTTTTGGCGCTTGTAGCGATGAACGAGAGCTATTTTTCGATCAGAGAGTCTTTTCAGAACCTTGTACAAAAAATAAGCACTCTGATCAAGGAAGAGTTGATAATGTTGAAGGTGTAACCTTTGCAACAACCATCTGCTCGGCTCAGACTTGAAGTTTTTACTTGTTGTATTAGGATTCCAATCTGCCTCTTCAAAATTTCCGTGACCATTCTGCTGTGCTGACGCGAAGGAGAGGTGCAACCTGTCTCTGCCTAGCAGTCATTTTAACTGTCCGCCTTTGGCCAGAACTGTAGCGAAACTAAATTTGGACTGCAATGCGCTCATCCCCCTAGTTCAATATCCGACTATTGTTCAAGTGGAGCCGGCCTTGGTCGTGCCAGATACCCTCCACATGTGCTTGCAGATTCTGCACAGGCTGCTCGAGAATGTGATGATAGAAATGGAAAACTTTGACTGTGCATTCCAAGTCCGAAACCCTCGCGCTAAAAACCAGTGCATGGATAAATTTGTAGATTTAGTAAACAGCTGTGGAGTAAAGTGTGAAGTGTGGCAGGATGAAAAGAAAGGGTACTCGTTTACGTCGCTAACAGGGGGTGACTGCCACAAGCTGTTGGGAACTCTCCCAGGAGAACTGAACGGTCAACTGCACGGAGATAGGGAGGCATTTGTTATGTTTCTTTGGAAGACGCTCCTAGACGTGCTTACGCATTTTGAAAGGGATGTTCTGGGAACGTGCGTCGAGCAGACGGCGCGAGCTTTTTTCTTTACTTTTGTTCAGCTTGGCAACACCAAGCGCAAAGGTTACGGTAAGGACAGGGTTACTCCGTACATTCATATTTTTACGCCCCATGCTCCCGCAAAACACACTCAATTTAAATGTCTCGGTTAGTTTTCCAGCCAAGGGCTGAAAAAAAAAAAAGAATGACGTGCTGAAATCTCTGAATCACGCAAGATCTAACAAATGGAACCCGGCTGCTGACGCGCTCAGATTAGCGAAACGAACAGAAACCTTCTCAAACGATGCGAAAGCCCGAGCATATGGTAAAGCAGATGTCGCCTATTGGCAGGGCGGTGGTATTATTGAAAGGCAAAAGAAAAGGCACCGTTCTGCGGCGGACTCGTTCGGTGCGAGCAGGGAGCTTGACTTGGAGAGCATGAGCGTGAGGCAGATGCGAACGGAGTTGCGTTTTCTTGGCACACAAACGTCGTGCAAATGCCCGCGGAAAGTTCATGACATGCTGTGTAAAGCATTACAAAGCTTAGAAGGCGGAGAGTGATTGTGTTTACATTTCGTGTCGGTCCTTGTAATGTTATGATGCACGAGATTATAATCAGACTTTATGCGCACATCTTACATACATTTCTTTCAAACTTGTGAGAGTGTCATTGTATTTTAATATAAACTTTTTTGCCCTTGTTTCTTTGAATGTCGTACCCGCGGTTCTACTCATTCATTTTATACATTGTATTGTATGGCACCAAACATAATACTGTTTTCCAAATGTTGTAACACTGAGAGAGTTTTGTATCAATGTTTGGCTCTTCACTGAAAGAGGTATTGTAACATTGAAACAGTTTTGTACATATACCTTTGCTTTTTGTTCGCTCAAGATCTTTCTCGATGCCTTTCACGTGTAACACATTTATTTTATCATAGTTATAAAGAAACGGTCTGTGCGTTTCTTGTAATTTTGGTTGTAATAATAATGTCTGGCTTGTATCTCGTGCTTTGAATGCCCGTCATTTTCACACAACTTTGTGCAACTCTAGAGGCAGGATTCGGATGGTCTTTGGTCAAGAAGATACCGGTCCCGTCAACAAATGGACGTGGACAATCTTGCATTCAATAGTAGGACTTTTGAATGCAATTTACATATATGTTCTGAGCAGATTCTTAGCTCGCCAATATGCAAGGTGTTTTCTTTACTCTGTCCAGATTTTTCCAGAGAAGTGCCGCGAAAGCTACAATGATGAGGCTTTCGCAGGCGAGTTATGGATAAAAAAAAAATCGAAAATAAAAATAAAAATTTTTGTTGGCAAAGCCGCACTTTGCCGGGCCGCGGTTGTTTTGCTTTTATTATTTGCGGCGCAGTTGACGCTGCGATGTCCTTCGGGCCGGAAGCCACTCCCTGGCGCCTTTGTGGCGGGAAAATTTGTACACAGGACTCTACGGAGAATTTTCTGTTGGCTGTTGTATTTTATTATATTGCCTCTGCGCGAAAAATTAAAAAAAATTCTCACACTCTTATTTCTCTTATCATCTACAAAACCATACACATTTTATAACAACAGTGTTTGCAAACTCGTCGAAATGTCGCATTTTCTTTGGTCACATGTGGTCCTGGCTGCCGGAACCATCGACTGATATAACCTCGGTGTACTCGACCTTTGACTGTTTTTTTTTAATTGGGGAAATCCGTCGCGCACTCATAATTAGGTGATATCAGAAACCTACAAAAAGCTTCTCCTACGAGAAAAAAAATCCTCCTCACTCAACTTCCCATTTCCCCCTCTCCCACAGCCATCTCGACTATCTAACGGCGGAGGACCCCTCTTGTTGCTGCATGTTAGGGGGGGGGGGGGGGGGGGTAGGCAGGGTAAACTGATATCCGGGGAACACGGGGGGGGGGGGGGATGGAAATTTGTATATATTTGTATTTTCGAGGCACCTCGCCTCAGCAGCCGAACTTTTTCCTCCATAGCGTCCCGCTTGTTTGTTTTCAACTGAAGTGGAAGTCTTTCTACTAGGCTTTATGACTTTCTCAAAATTCGAACGTCGTAGTAAACGCATCGCATGAACGTCGCACTGTTTATTTGCAACCTATATAATGTGGCGCTGCTGTTGCGACGCAATAAATTTCATTATCAATCATTATTTGTTGTAATTCCATGGTGCCATGGTAACACATAAGCGCGTCGATTCAAAGGGAGAAATAGACCATCGTATTTATTTCCCAGATATACTCGCTCCTGTGACGCTCGAGTGCGTAAGCGCAAGGCACCCGAGGGAGCGCGCAATACTTTATAACTGTCGTTGACGATCAAATATTTAAGGGAAGTGCATGACTTATTTATACCATATTGTTGCGCCTCTGAGCAGCTTTTTGTGGCTTTTGGATATCATGGATATCGCTCATCGAGAGCCTGGAATGGCTGATATTTCTGTATTCCGTACGACACAATGATATGTGTCAATAGCACAAAAATAAAGAATAAATAAAAGCACTGAACTATCACTCAGCTGAATCAAGCGCTAATATAAACGGCCTCATTTTCGCTAATTCCGCGATATGCAAGAAAATTTGGAGAGATTGATCACAGGAATGAATCAACCCAAGTGAGAGGTGCTTAGCATACCACACACCACAAAATTGTGTTCCTCCAAAATACGTCTTGCTAAAAACGGCTTTTTAGAAAGTTAGCTAATTATAAAGACCACCAAGACAACGTTGGTTAAAGTCCATTCTGACATGTCCTCAGGAAAAACCTATAACGTTTTAATTTTTGTATTCCTCGTGATTTTTATATAAGCGTCGTAAGAATAGAGTTGCATCGAATTGTCATATACTAGTAGATCGTTTTTCTCCTCCGCTACGGTATTCGTAAAGAAAACGTAGCAGCTGCGCATGGGCGCCGCCAACCTTGTCTGTTGAGTTCATGGTCTTGTGGCGGATTACGGAGTCCTATGCGGGTACTTAGCGGGCTGAGGAAACGGTCTACTAAAACTCCCCACTGACCTCTCCCTACCGGTAAAAGGGTGGTGGGGGGCGAGGAGAAAAAAAGTTTTGGGAAGGTGATTATATTTATTCGTAACAAAGCTGTGCTTCATGATGAAGGCAACCGCGCCAGGCTACCTTTCCATTTGCATTCTGCAGTCGTCTGTGATACGTGTAACCCTCAAGGTGAAGACAACTTTTTCTTCTTCGTTTCGCTTAGTAGTAACTCGGAAATCGTCGACGACTGATCTATCACCGTCAAGTGCAGTGACGATTGGATGTCGTATTTCCGGGCTACTCGCGGGCTGGGACAAGGGGAACACACAAACGCGTACCCACGACCTCTCCCAGAGAACAAAAGAAACGAATCCCGACTTCGCTGGATCTTCCGAGGAGGAAGCAAGGACATCTTCCAGGAACCAAAATAACCACCGTACCAGCTTTGGGGTGGGGAGTGAGTTGGGTTCAAATGCGAAAAATGGAACGGGCTTAATGCGATGGGTCCGAACGAGAAGGTTTTTTTTTTGAGAATGATCGTTTTGAAGTACGAAGGGCGAAACGAGAACGCGCTCAAATGATAACCTCCCGACCGAGCGGTCCGGCGCCTGCTGCTCATGGGAAAAAAGCGTTCGGTCACTCTGACTTCCTCAGTCTCACGGATTGAGCGTGCCCGCATCAACGCGGGGAAGACACTTGGAAGCCGCTAGCAGCTCATTTTGCGCTTTTGGGGGATTATCCCTACAGGATAAGCTGATACAAAATAAGCCTTTGCTGTCACGTGACTTTTGGAAGAGTGTCAATAGAAGCGGTGGGCGAGGGCATTTTCCTACCCTGTGGAATATGTTTTTTTAGGCCGAGCTTTATTGTCTAAATTGCTTTATCCTTCAGTTGGGGCTCCTGCCCCCGCAGCTGAATTGGGGGCCATTATTGATACTCAGCGTCTTGTGGCGGCGATAGTGGAGCCAAAGAGCTATAGGAGACATTTACATGTTTCAAGCTATCTACGTACGTGATAATATACGCAGAGCCAGGGAAAGCGGCATAGTTGACAAGAGACGTGTCGCTCAAACTACATCGCAAAAAGCCGCGCTTTCTCGAAAGCAACCGAATACTTTAAACTGGTTTGCGATCACATGGCTACCTCCTACCCAATGGTGGGAGGTAGAACTATTAGGATAATCATGTCCAGTACGACATAAAATCCTCAATAAAACAACTAACAAAGATGTCATATAGTTAAAAAAGAAACTTTAATTATTAGATCAGATAGTACTATACCAGGATCAGAACTTTTAAAACAAAAAAAAACTAATTAAAAAAAATAAAAAAACATTGTGAAAACCAACCGGCCCTGTAATTCGAACCAATGATTTACTCGTTCAGTCTGCTGCGAGCTAAAGTAAGAGACGTTTCATCCACTACGCCACGAGCGTTTTTTTTTTTTGTTGTTGATTTTTTGCGCTAATTTTTTGGGAATGCTAAGGCAAACACGAGGACGCACATCCACTGATATCGCGCTTTTGTTTAATTTCCTTTTGTCAAGAGACTTAGCAATCGCAAATATACATGCCGCAGCTAGAGGACAGCGACATGTTTACTGTCAGCCGTGATTAAAAGCTGTTGGGCCCCGCTACGACACCGGAATCGAACTTTTGTGATTGGTGCAAAAACGACAGCCACGGTTGCAGCCGATATGCGCCGATGTGCGCCCAGGCCAGTACCGTAGCCAGGATTATTTTTCGGGTTCAGGGGGGGGGGGGGGGGGGGGGGAGGCTTTGTCAAGTTGGCCTGGGTGAGGGAGGAAGAGGGGAGATGCCAGCAAAACTGGAATTATAAAGCTATGAGAGTCCTGACTGAGATTAGAACTGTAACTATTTATAAAGTGCGGATTTGTACAGCTACATAATGAGACTACTTGTGTATCCAATGCGAAGGGTCAATTTAACGAGAACCAAACATTTCATCACATAGCGAAAGAACTTTTGTGACTCTAAGCTGAACTGGAGAGGGCCAGCTCGGTTAAAATCAAAAGTGCCGCCCCCCAACCCCCCGGCTAGTTTACAGTTTCCAATTGATAACCTTGGGACAATCTTCTCGCCCAAAGCGTGCCGCACCTCAAGCGCACGACGCTTCCCGCCCTCCGAATTAGAGAAGGAGAAGGTGGAAGAAAACTTCGGGACGGGGACGGGCCCTGCTCTACCTTCTTTAGCTAGCTGCTTCAGTTTTATCTCAGCAGTAGGCGCCATCTATGTGCGGGTTGGGAACTAAACTGAAAGTCCCGCAATCTTGGACTTGTGAGCACCTGCTTGAAGTTTGCATATGCATAGACGGTTTTCTTTTTGTTTTAGGAGATTTGACCGGACAAAGAAAGTTGATGTTGAAAAAATCATCGACATTTTCTATGTTCAGTCGGGAGGCTTAAAGTTCCCACGTGAAATGGCAAACCATGATTGCATTCAGTTTTTACATTTGCAGCTTCATTTCTCTTAGGAACACTTGTGCTAAATGTATACCCCGGGGTTAAAAAAAAGTGTTCACTCCAAGCTTACAAAACGAGGAATAGAGAGTAATGGCTTGCATGCCGCCATCACAAAACGTTGCGAGCATAAAATATCAACCGGGTTCGATCTTCAGTTCTAGATGTTAAAATCTGCGGGGTACCCTACCATGCTATTATCAGGTTTTTGCGAAAACCTTTTACAAAAAATTAAAGGGACACATGCATAATAAAAAGACGCACTCCCTAACAGATGAACAAAATATCAGTGCAAGTTGTTCCTTGTATGCATAAAGTTTCGCACAATTTTACCAAAATAGCTGGAGGGTAGGGTGGTAATCTCCTTTTTGCTCTTTGCGAGCTTGACGAGATATCTGCAATGCTTACTTGGCATAAGGTGTTCAGTACGCATAAAAACACGCCGTAACGTACACTGAGTGCACAACTGTGGTTGTCTGTGAAATTCTTTTTAACTGCGGCCGCATTTACATTGGACAAACAGGTCGGTGCTTCAATGACGAGATCGCGAGCATATTCCATATGTGTGAAGCAATCTAGGTGATTATCTTGCTGAGCACTATAATGTTGAGGTGCTACCCGCTTTTGCAAATAATGATGTTCTTGTAGAGAGCAAAAGACAAGGCAGGGAGAGAAATAATGTTTTTTTTTTCATAAGTAAGGCTAAAGACAAGTGTGTCAGTATGCATTCGGTGTTTATCATTGTCATATAAGTATCTTCTCTTGATGATTTTTCTGATTCCATTAGCCGTAGTAGAAACGTAATTTAATGTATAATTTTTGTATTTATTTTATTTAAGAGTGTTTTTTCTCAAAGGGGATGGTACATTTTGCTTGGTTTGATGCAATAAACGTAGAAATCAGCGCCAGTCCTGTCGTATCTACAAGTGAATCTTCGTCCTTGCTCAGTTTACGCTATTTTATTATTGCTTTTGCCGTTTCAAACGAGCACGTTTTGATAAAATAATATAAAGCTAATCTAAGATGATATATTCAACCGATGAAGGGAGATTAATAACGTTCCGCAAGACGCCGGACTTTTTAAACTACTGTTCTTGAGGGGAATACGAGCGTAGTTTATTTATCTCTTCGTAGACTAAGTTATTACAGCTGATGTTAAAATAGGAAAGTGTGTCTGCCGCGTGAGCTCCTGAGTTTATTAACAGCGTAACATAAGGGAGGGCGGTGCATTCAGAAAAAGTCGAGCTGTCAATCTCCTTTCTTGTTTTGGCAGTTATAACTCAACAACTGTTTAGGACGCTCACGTTTTTCATGGAAATGAATGCGCGGATACCGGCACGTTAATAATGTGTATCGCACTCACCCAACACTTCGCCAAGGGGTATTTTCAAAACCATCTTGTATACCATCACGCACGAAATATCAAATAAGGGTTAGGATTCCCAATACAGTGTACGTCTACTTTTAATGACTCTTTATTGCCCCAAAACTCTAGTGACTGGAAGTGCCTTTCCACAGAATTTTTTGCAATTAGTGACACAGCTGCTGTCAAAATTGCCAGGACTAAATTCTCATATGATGTCATGTAGTTAACCTAACCACGACTTGCCTCTCGTCGTTCGACGCGCCGGACGGCTGCTTTGATATCTCCGGTGTATTCTATGGAATACATACGTTTCGAAGCACAACGTCTAGATGGCGTTTCAGCTCTGCTCCATGGAACACAGTTATGAAACAAAAGTCTAAATTGCGCGTCAAACGACGGGAGGCGGACTAAAGTGAGTGAAGGGGGTACCCCCTTCCGCGGGAGTTGAACAACTGACCTAATCTACGAGCACTAACGTTGCTGAAAGCGTAACGTACGTTAGGCCTAACGTCCGGTCAGCGCACACTCGCCAGTGATTTGCCTACACACCCTCTAGGGGGGTGTACAGCCCCACCCCCCCTCCTTTTTTGAAGGCACGACCCTAATTCACGACTCCTCTATTCTCAATCCCCCCCCCCCCCCCCTAAAAGTTTAGACACACTCCCTAATTTCAATTCCCAGGGATGCCCCTGATACCCGAGTCCCACCCTCACGTCAAACAGCTGCGCGTACAGATTGACGTTAGACCTCAAAGAAACGTTACTAAAACACTCAGTTGGGAAACTCCCATAGAGACGGCAGTGAAAAAGTGGCCCCAATCTGTCTCCGAGCACCGAGCTAATGATGAACACAACGTCACCATTTCACCCGCAGCGGCCTCTCGAAGAACTGCACGTGACTTCTACTTTGGCTTAAGAACAGGTACAGCGGTAGAGGCTACAGGGGTGCCACCCCCGTCTCCCCGGCGGACGCGCCGCGTTCAACTACCGACGTTAAAATGCACCTAGGTCAGGACGTGCTACCTGAAAGGCTCGCTGAGGCATGGTTGTATGAAAACAATACTAATTGTTCCGCAAAACCTTGCGAACTAAAGATGATAAAAACATCACGCGCCCATCATTTGGTACTAAACTCCAATAAATTTCATACAAAAAGAGTCTTTTCCATTTGTTTTCACGCAAAAGGCTTTCAGAAAGCTCGAGGTGACCATAGTACAGACAAACGAAAAAGAGTGGCGCTGTTGTCGCATTTAGCTCGGTCTCGGTGGACACCAGCGGCCCAGGTTAGACGGCGAGTTTCCCAACTGAGTGTTTTAGTAACGTTGCCTCAAAGCGTAACTATAGGCCTAACGTTAGGCCTAACGTCAGGCCAGACAATAGACCTGTTTCTCTCGATCAGGGGACTCCGTAGAAGTTCGAGACGCGACTATAAAAGTGGTGCCTCCGGTCGCGTTAGCGCCCCACCATGCACGATCCATGGGCGTATACCTGTGACTGTCAGCGTCCCTCAGCATCTGTCTATATGCGCTAACCGAGCGTTTGAAAAGGCGCAACGCGACGCACGACAGAAACGCGACATAAACAATTTCGATTTTTCTCCCCAGGAGCGCTGCTCGTAACTTGAAAGCTACAAATTCATATCCGCCCCCCCCCCCCCCACCCCTTTCCCGCTGTGCCGCCAGCAGTTCGGCTAGCCCCTTATATAGCAACCATGACGCCGTTACTATGGAGCCACATGACGCGTCGCAGCCAATGAGAATTTGGGTCCCGTCTCGCTCAGGAGAATTTAGGTACCGTTTCTCGCTGCTACAGACGATATTTTAGTACCATTTCGCTCCGCCAATGGGCATTTAGGTGACACTTATCGCTGCTAGAGACAACGATAACGCCGTCTTAGATAACGCCGGCTCGCCCCATGGGAGAGTTAATGCTTTCGCATTACAACTATGGAGAAGCAACTGACCTGCTCCAAGAGCGAGTGACGGGCCATAAAGCACCACTCCTGTGTAAAGAAGCTGAAAAATCATTCAGTAAAATAAGTCAAAATGAGCCCACAGCAGAGCAAACTGTTTTACAGTGCACCATTATCATGTAAAAGTGAACGCGAAAAATCCACTGGCGCACTTGTGTTGTTATTTTTATAGTATAGAGAGAGAGAGAGAAAACATGTTTATTGGAAAGATGAAGAGGTATATATAATGCACCAAAGCCACAGCTCAGCCAAATGTGCTGCCTGTACGTCATAAAAAAATGAAAACAACACTGTAGAGCTGCAATGTTATTTTTTTCAAACTTGTGGCGCCATTCCCCGATGGGGCCAGCAAGCAGACGAAGTTACATTTACCGCTGACTCGGTCGTATGTGAACACGCCCGCTGGGCGCCGTTGACTTGCAGTAAGTTTGTTGGTTTAATTTTTAACACGGGAAAAAAACGACGTGTTGATATTGCACAAGGTGAATTGATCTACCTTAATGCACATTTGGTGAAAGTTCGAGCTTCCTATGAGCAGGCGCTGATGGTTCCGGCCTATTTTACAGCGTAAGGTCCACTGCGCACCCTACATTTTACCATCTGTTGAAAAATTACCTTTACTTTTCCAATCACTTCCAGGCCCCACGTTGTTATGGCTTGGAGCATCGAGAAGAGCTTTGATAAGGCTCACATTAGTGAGAGCAAAGATTATTCACAGTTCTTTTGTCAGCTTGAAAACGGGCCTTTTGTACTGCTCATTTGCGAAATACAATCACCGGATTATTGACGCCTTATGTTCTCAATCCTTGTGAAACGCCAACCGCTTTTCTTGCATGTGACAAAAAGATCACGTTTTGTCGCAGCTTGGCTATGACATTACCTATAGTTTTATTTATTTTGCGGACACCTGACGTTAGAGGTTCCTTTCAATTTTATTAATATAATTTGTAAGTAGGAAGGAACAGACTGTTCGAACGATTAAAAAAAACTAATGCCTCATTAACTTTCAAAGTTTTGCGCTGAACGGCGTTTGCAGAAAATCTGGCCTTCATAATCCCAGATCTAAATAACAAAACACAATAAGTATATTGTAAAAAAAAAATAATCTGTCCCCTCTTTGTACACCTTAGTAACAATCCGTTTATCCTTCGTTGTTCAGAAGATAAGAGATGAACGTAGTGTCAACAAACTGAAATGAACTAACGGAGTGGCTGTCCTTGCGAATATACAACTAGTCTTCCGATGCTCGGAAGAACTGAACTGCGGATTCATACGGTTACTATAGTATAGAGGAACTGTATATGCTCCTTAAGTGGAGCATATACACTAACTCACTGAGGCCACTTGCTCAGCCGGTCTATTTTATTTTGATGAGCACCGTACTTTGAGAACTACAGATAAAAATGCGTTTTACCGTTTCCAGTATGAAGATGCCTGATGCAATGTCCTTGACAACGGCTGACTTGAATCTCAACTCTAGATACTGTAAGCAATGTAATAAAACAACGCACTATGGCAGTACCAAGTTTGTACAATCGATGAAAAATGTCAGTAGTGGCATTGCTTCTTGTATTCGCTCTGCCTATAGGAAACATGAACGATACTACTAACCTGCAGGTAACTAAATGTTTGATTGTTTTCTCAATCCAAGTAATGACGGTGTCCCGAAACCAAATGCAAACCTGAATTTTTCTTAGTTTATTTTTTTTATAAATAATGTTTCTTGCGAGACGCCATGAAATGTACGACTTGAGTCCCCGAATGGACAAAAGAACAATAATTCTCGATGAATTTGAATGATGAAAATGGGTCAGCAATAAAAAAAATCTAAAATATGTAAAAATGTCCTTTAAAGCTTGTACAGATGATTGAATAAACAGGTTGTGAAGTATTCAACACTTTACAATGGAAGCCTCTATATTCGGACACAGGGTTATAAGCTACCTAGGTACAAGAAACTGCAAATTTGTAACTGGTACTTTTGCTGTACCTAAGATACCAACTTAGGCACTTTTATTTCTCTATATTTGTACCTGTCTCTTAGGTACATTTTTAAGTTTTTGTAACTTACTCAAGTTACTTTTTGCAAGTACCTTTTGTTCGCTTTAACCCAGTTATAGAAAGTAAGAACTCAGACGTATTGACGCACTGGGGTGGAGCCGAGGGGCACATTTAGTCAGAATAAGCGAACATTGAGATAAATTCAGGTGGTCTCATTAGCTTGCTGTGCCCCCAAGATGAACACATTATTTTTTACAAAATGAAGCAGCTTGGGATCGTCGACTGCGCACTGCGTTGTAGGCACTAGCGAAAAGAAGCAACGAAATACGTTCCTAGTTAATTGAATATGAAGGCTCTTAGCAATGAGAGAAGAAAATACCTTGATAATTGGTACCGTTTGTCATTTAACATTTGAGATCGCGTGGATAATTAGTGAGGTGAGACACATGCCTGCCTGGGAATATCTTAAAAATTAACTCATGAGAGCTTAGAGTATGGAAAAGAAAAACATCGTCATGCGAGCAAAGTGGTGGTGTGAAAGACTGCGAGCATTTATTTTAACTTTGAAGTGTCGTCTTTAAGTGCTTCATGGGAGGAAGAATTCGCACAATACACAGTACTTGCCCCAACAAGAAATTTGGAATGTCTTAAGTATATGCCGCGGCTAATACGTGTGTCATTGAAATTCAACACATTACTTCTGAACATGTGCGGCAGTGGAGCGTGTTTCTAGCGTCTGGAGTAGGGATGGGTGATGGGGGGGGGGGGGGGGGGGGGTGCCGGGGGGAGGGGTGGCACTCGCTACTAAGTTCTGAACGAGGATATCAGATAAACACTTCGAGGAAGTGCTGGGTATAAAGGCGAATAGAACAGCGAAGTAAGAAAAGGAACCATGCTGCCAAAGGTCCATGAGTGACTGCGTTTGTTTTTTATTTCTGGCGCAGAGGCACCAACAAAGCAGTAGCTTGGGACTTCAACTTGTGTGTCCCCTTAGTAAAGAAAGAAGCCTTTTTCCCAATATTTTATAATAATTTGAGGAGTTACATTTTGGGGAAGGTACGTTTTATGATTTTCAACACGGTTTATATTGGCCGAACTGGTGTGAGATGGCATGCACCGACGATGCTTGGTACGTGGGGAGGGGTTTTTCCCCCAATATACACCATGGTTACTACTTTCCCCATTTTTGTTTAACCCTGATACCTTTAGTTCCTTCAACTGCGCGATGGCAATTTAACGGCCACGTTTCATTTCCCTATTTCTCTCTCTCTCTCTCTGTATATTGTACTATATTTGCACATTTCACAGGTACTCTTTCAAGCTAGTCTTGATTTGGATAAGACGATGATTAATAACGGCGATTATTTTGGTGATTAATTACGACGAAATATTTTTGATCTATAAACCTCGAGCTTGTACGTCATTGAGTGTCCCCATCAACGTTCCGCACGACATTTTTGTGCACCGAACTATTCGTACCGTTTACTACTATTTGCCGTTTTCATAAAAAATATCAAAAGTATTTTTTAAGTAACTCTATTTGGTACGTAGGTGCATTTTTTAATAAGTATCTAGGTCGTACCTCAGTTACTTTTTGCATGAATAACTGTAGCTCTTTCTTAGGTACGTATCTGGAGTAACTCTTAGAGCCCTGTTCAGGGACAATATTTCTTGTCAATGCACTAAAATTTTACGGGCACATGTGACCTCTCTGCTTTTGAACTCTAAGTAAAGCAGTGTGAGCGCTCTCGTCCTCTTCTCGAAAATGCAAAAACCTTTTATACAAGGGCGCCACTATACTGAATGCCGTCGCTTCCAGTATGGGCGAAAACATTGTTTTGCCGTCGCCACGCTAACAGAATACATTTAGGATGTAAATGTAGCCGTCTCCCATTCTGGTTTTGACTCGCATCTATTTTTTTTATTATTTTCAGGTTGAAATGCTTAATAATTTTTTCGTCTTTTCGCCTACCAGGTGGCCGGGGGCGAGAGTAATCTATAGTAGCCCTCTTCTCCCAGAAATTTATTTGCAGGCGCAAACCTCATAGCAGAACATATCAGCACAACAGATTTGGTTTCCATGGCAAAATAACCAAAAAGATGTTCATGCAGACATACTTAAAATGAAGCATAAATTTACTGATATTTTATCATTTATTGAACACAAAATTCCCCTTCGTCCACAACCTTATGTTTTGCTCTACTGCGGGTAAGGGATAAGTCGTACGAACTACATGTAAAGTACCCACACGCCGATACTCTCCACAGTGCATGGCGATGTTGCAAAGATGAAAGGACGGCAATTTATAAAAAACAATGTTTCTCTTCCCTGAAACTACTCTTTAATCCCGTTTCAACAAATTTAGACAAGCGCTTCTTAAAAATGATGCATTCAATGCACCATGCGCCTTTGAAAATAAAGATTGTTACAGTTTTATAATCTAACTAAAAAGGTATTTTGATGCCTATTTAACGATTTTATGATTGGCGTAGATGTCTGTTCGGATATATATGAACGCCGTAACAATTTATTTCGCTGAGATATAAAAAAGAGAACCTCGAGGCGTGGAAATTGGGAAGATTTCACGTTGCTACTTTCCACAGTTGTTATTTCCTCATCGAAACTCTCACGTCGCCATAACTTTTTGTAGCGTGAGCTACACTGGCCGAGGTTGAGCAGTTTCGCGTGGCTCACATAATGAGCCGCGCTCCGTGCTGCGCAAGCGCGAGGAGCAGTGACTTCACACCGCGCACAGCTGGCGGGGTGGAGCCGCCGTCGCCGCGGGTTCCGCCGCCACCGCGCGTGCCTCGCCGGTCTGCGCAAGCGCGAGGAGCAGTGTCGTCACACGGCGCAAAGCTGGCATGCCGGAGCCGCCGCCGCCGCGGGCTCCGCCGCCACCGCGCGCGCCTCGTCGATCTTCACATTCCAGAGGCGTGACGTCATAGCCGCGGCAGACACACTGGCGCCGCCGCCTGCCCAGCTGTGTGCCTTCGTTGCGCAGTAGCCAAGTCTGACGCTGCACCGGAGCTGCTTGATAGCGCCTCTCATTTTGTGCGCATAAGCTCACGCTACGGATATCCTGGCATAGCCGAGCTAAGCCACCGCAATTTTTTAATGCATATTACAAGAGATATACAATACATACACAAAAAGTAAAAATATCAATAAAACATTTCTATGCAAACAAAAAATCAAACATGTCATAAAAACGCATTTTGGAGATGTTCACGATTTGTTTGCAAATAAACAATCTTTCTTACTGCTTCACAAAACATAAAAATGCGCGTCTTTAAATATTGTGTGCGAATATGTAAAGATAATATGCCCACCCTTAATTGTATTCTTGCTATTAACGCGGAAATGCAGCTGATCTCTCAAGATGTGGTAAAATATGGCGTCAATATTAAAAAAAAGAAAAAAACTTAATTTTTTTAATTTCCCGTGTAATTTTGCAGTGAATTTAACTTACTTGTGATGGCAAAACATTAAATAAGATATGACTTCCAAACGGGGAAAGCTACGACAAACCTTCACTTGGAGCGAGCCGACGTCTTCGTCATAGCGGCTTTACCGCGCAGCACCAGACATTTTGAGCTTGAGTTAAGGCATAATATTTATATTGTTCAAATTCTTTTTTTCAAAAGGCTTGAATATAACAGACGCGAAAAGGGACTTTGAGCTTGAATATCAATTCAATTCACAAAAACAAAACGGCCCCATCCTGCCAATACGCTAAGTATGCATGCATAAGCTTAAAATTCTCAGTTGCGCAAGTTGCCATGTATCAGAGTGTCGAACCGGAACCGAACCGAACCGAAAACCGGAACAGAACCGTTATTTTTAGCCGAACCGGAACTGAACCGAACCGAAATCTTCGCCGCCATCTTGGAACTGAACCGGAACTGAACCGGAAAAAAATATAACGGTAACCGGTTCAAAACGGTTCACGGTAATTTTTTTTTATTAGAAAGTGAGTGTTGGAGAAGCAAAAATTGGCAGCTGGCATTTCTAGGTAGTGATCAAATTGTCATATACCGAATCGCAATGTATAAGAAATTGCGGGTTTTTGTGGCGCTTTTGTATTGGCACTACGGTTAATCGTGTGCCACGTGGTCACGTGACGTCATGGTTTCAAGAAATGCTGTCAAATGTCACGTCACGTGGTCCCGTCGCGTGGTCGCATGACTGACCGCGTCAAGTCGACTTATATTCAGAACGTCAATTTCCCCCTCTCTTCTCCAACGTATCGTATGCTTTTTCCTCCTTGGCAATCTTTTCCCTCGCCCTACCTTCTTGAGTTGCAGCAGACTATAGATGTATTAGCGTTGTTGACACCGTGATGTCACATGCCATCACGACTTCTCACTGCGAGTAACGCGACACCGTGACGTACTCGGTTGTCATGAGCCCGAGCCGAGTGCTCGGGTTTTCGACAATCAGCATCGCCAAACATTCGTGTTAACTCGTGTTCAATCAAAAAT